TACGACAATTGTATTTCCGAAGATTTACATCTTGATTAAGACAAACATTCTGCATGAAATAGATATTCCGAAGAACAAAGCAAAAAAAGTGATAAAGCTTTCGGCTCTGTGAAACTTTTTTCGGGATGCGGCACACATAATAATTCCCATTCGGAACCCATGACGGACGCAAGCCCACGCAATGATTGTGGAAGACTGTCGTGCAGAAAATATCTGTCTAACAAGTCTGGTACCAACTAGAAGATCTGTAATTCTACATGGATTTCGTTGGGCTGGGTGACAGCCTATCTGAGATGATGCCAATGGTGAATGATTTAGAGATGGAAATTTCTAGAGCACACTAGTTTTCAAGCTTTTCAGGACCATAACTTCGACTAGGACACAGGGATAAAAAAAACTAGTGCTGAAAAGTAGAAGACTATTACTACTATTTTAAGCACTACAAAGTCTTTCATGGAAATCCGCTATTCAAAAGTCTGCTGTTTAGGATTTTTCGGCAACGAGAAAAGTGTCGTCTGGATATACGTTGTGGCCCGTTAAAAGGACTTAACTTTGTTCATAACTGTTCGGGGAGAGGTGAAAGCTTCTGGAAGTTACGAGCTGAGGTCATCCGCACTACCCTTTCATTAGCTTCGCTTTCAACTTCCAGCACTTTGGCTATCTTTTGGACCGCTAACTCTTTCGAATGCCCCCATTATTCTCACTCAGCCGAATGGCCCTTTCCTTGAGGACTGCTTCAAGCATGCTTGACCCTGACTAGCAAGCGTCATGTACGTAGAGTTGCCTGAAGCGTCGCAGGGCGATTTCCTATGCCATTCTCGGAATTGGTTGAATTGCACATTTAGTCCTGCTAACTGGGTTTACAAGGTCCGCCAACCTTATCCAAGGAGCCCTTTGCTGATGGGGAAGGCTGTGTTTAGGGTGTACCCGAGGTTTTTTTCCGCTTTCTTTCTCCCTACTGAGCTACATACGGCTACTGGTTCATGAACTGAGGCAGCTACTTTCCGTAACACTTGGTTGCAGAATTGTCTTTAAAGGCAGCGCCCGCGTTCAAATTTAATGAGTATGCGGCTCAGGTAGTAATAGCGAGGCTAGCAAGAAGCCTATTAGTGAAGAAAAATCGAAGAGAAAACACGCAAAATGCCCTAGAAGGAGTTTCATACCGAACAACGGTTGTACGTGCTTAAGGCGAAGAGAAGGAGTGATTGCACGAGTTTCCACTTGTTCATATCAGCTGTTTTCCCTTATCACCTCACTCTCACCACTCCACTGTGACAGGAAGGCACATGACATCCGACCGCGACCATTAGAATCAAGTTGGGTGGCGTTGTGCAGGTGGCGAGACCGGTCGCCTTCTTTTGCGCGCGGACGCCGCTATGTCCGATCGCATTTTTTGGGTTGCGAACATGCACGTGCGCACTCACCTCCATCAGGGGGAGCTGCTAGTCCATAGGGGCGTGAGAACAACTAAATAAACGCGGCGCTGACCTTAATGCTTACCTAGCATTTTTTAAGCAGTGAGAATGCAGTATTCAGAGTGCATACGAATACTAATTTCAGAACAACAATTTTCAAACTCAATTCTGACTTTAATTAGGCACCGTCTTCAAAAAACGTCCTTTTATTGGTGAAAGGTGCATTGGCACTTTATTAATTAATTTGCTTCATTCGGTGTAATCAATCATAGAAGGAATTTGATAATGTTGATCTTTAAAGTCATTCGATCAGAATTCTTCCACCCTGACGAATATAGAGAATGTTGCAGCCGATGGAACCAAAACCGTCAAAAGCATTTGCAGTTCCATTTCGAAGGTCTCGTCTGCAGCAGGTTGTCGCTTTTTGAATGTTTGTCTTTTTCTTACCCAGACCTTAGAGATTTATAATACTAGTTTATATATTTTATTTATAATATTTTTATAACATTTGGAATACTAGTTTTTCTGGTTATTCTGATTTCATTAAATGTACTGAGCAAAACTGGAGATAGCACAATTGGAAAGACTTTCCAGTGCGCAACCTCTGCGGTGCACACCAACAAATCAGCATTTCCCTTCTTGGACCAGGGCACATCGTTGGTTGGGGATTTCAGTCGAGTCCCTACGAACCCTCCCCCTTTTTTGCGAGTGTATGACCCCCCCCATTCCTCTCTCCAGCCCTCTGTCCCTATTCATCGAATCGAGCCGTTGATTCAGTCCGGGGTCGGTGGAGGGGGGGGGGTAAATAGCACGTATGAATACTATACTACTTATGAACAGGAAAATCATGAAAAATCAACCACCACTCCAAAAAGGCCAAAAAGTAAATACGAGTCCCTTCTCTTAACAACTAAATGAGCAAATACGACCCCCTCTTGTTTTCCTCAGCCCAAATACGACCCACCCTCTCATGGAGGCAAAGTACGACATTCCTAAACAACGATGTGGCCTGTCTTCGACTTACGTAGACATTTGGAACTTCCCGAATGGGTGTCGTACGCCCTCCCTCGATTTTCGATACTTACATTAGTTCCCAACCAGTTGTAGGGCTGGTTGAATCAGAGCAAGCCACGCTCCTCATTACTACTCAATTCATTGTCGGCTCATTTCAGGTTGCCAGCACAGTGGAAAATCGAGAGGATCATGTTCGGAGCTGTTGCTATCTCAACACATATGAAATGAAGATTTCCTACTCTCAAGACTCCCTGCATCATGGGATGTCTAAGCACTTCCTTCTGCCTTGCCGAAGAAGCCCTGCAAGCCTTTCCAAAAAGCTGTATAACATGGAAATTGAAAGAGCTTCAGACTTGGCAATTAAATCGGGCGAGCAGAGTAGGACAACAGCGAGATCCTCACACTGCAAAAACTTTCTTTTAGGGTACAATTATTTTTGGGTTTCTTCTTCGTCTGATCATTACTAGAAGGCAATTCAAGTGTACAGAGGGGGGCTGGAAAAGGCACTTGTTTTCTCGAGTGCCCTCGTTCCTAAGATGGTCAGCGACAGCATGAAGGCAGATTACTTTATTCGAGCTGAACGATGTAACAGTCGGTGTTCACTTTCAGTCCGGGTCCCACGAAGACAATATCGGTCTCCCCATTCTAGGAACTTCCGGTCCATACCATCAAGCTGAGCCTTGGCGACTGCAGAGAAGAAGATATCCTGGACCAGAGCGAGAGAACGCTGATTGGAGCTGCCTCGAATGTTGCCGGAATACTTTCAGTAAGAAGATGACAGTCCGCCAAAGAGGTATGGTAGGATGTTCATGAGCGACTAGATACAAGAAGTTTCACAACTGTATGGTGGTGACGTGAATTCCATAGTGTTTCTCCAGTCAGGCTGCGACTGGAGATAGCTTCATATTTTGTTTACATGCAGGTGATGGACAAGAGCCCGCTCCTGATGAAGCTGGCATTAACGCACCCCCCCCCTCCCACTTTAAAGGCACGAAGGACGCATTAGTGACCAAAGCAGCTGTTTCTTCTCCGCCTATACCGTCAGCATTGATATCAGAATACAATTTTGCGAAAAAGTTATTTAGCAACAAAAAAATTCATTCCGCAACTTCTCTGCTTTTTTTTTATCCTTATGCCGCTCCATTTGAACCCCTTTGAATCGTGAGTCGGGATTAAGAACGTGTGCTCCTGCGATTCTTTTTGGGTTACGCAGCTTTGCTGTGAACACGGGGTCTTTTGTATGAATGTCTTCTCCTATAAGATGCATCTCAGAGTGGTTAAATGGAAGATAATCATAATATTTATTCTACTTATTTACTTTTCTTATTATTAATATTATTTATCCTACTTGTTTACACTCCGCTCATTTATTCAATACTATTACTTCAGAAGAAGTTATCGCATTATAGGAGGCCTCACCAGATCACCTCAATAATGGCGGACAATTCCCGTGGTGCATGGGGTAGCCAGCTTCAGTTTGTTCTTACCTGTATTGGATTCTCTGTTGGATTGGGCAATCTGTGGAGATTTCCGGCAATGGCTTATGAGAATGGAGGAGGTGAATATTATCTGTTGCAGCATTGATCACGTACAAAAAAAATTTACATGGGATTTTGTCAGCGAGAGAACCCACATTGCCTTTGCTTCTCTATTGGACCATTTCAAAAATGTCAAAAATTTGCTGTTTGATTATTTTCAAATCATTATACAGGGCTAAAAATACCATGTGCGGGGCACGTCGTACGTTGGAGAACCCCAAAGTGGGGGGAGTCATATTTGGTTCCTGGGTGGAGGAACGGTCCTATTTGCCTCTGGTAAAAGTTATTCGGTTGTCAATTTTTCTTGAATTTCCACTGTTTCAAGTACGCTATATCTCGTCTCACGCCCCCACCCCTCTCCCTCAATAGCGGCCTTTGTTTGGAGACACTGTAGAAAAGTGGTAGGAAGTTGGGAGCGTTTGGGAGGCTCGAAGGCATAAAGCACGATAATTTGGTACTCGGTCTAAAATGGTAGCAGGGTGCTATATAGTGGAAGAAATGGCGAAAAAGCGAAGTGAAACGGTCAAAAACCTGCAAAAAAACCTTTGTTCTACACGAATCAGAAAGCACTTTTGGACGAGTTTCCTGTTGGCATCGTACCAGTAACCACGACGATATATACAGTGCAGCATCGCAGCCGCTTCATAGCGATCCCTTCGCTTCATATAGTACTTCGCGAGCAAGAGGACATTACCATCGCTCGGACTTCTAAGGGCCGACGGGCGCGGTGACAGGGCACATCATTGATTGGAGATTCTGATCTAGTCCGTACGGACCCCCGCCCCCTCTGGCCCTTCGCCCCTCGAAAAACCGCGAGAGAATACCCCCCCCCCCCCACCTCTTCTACCGATTCTCAGATTTTCCCCAACTTCCTGCCACTTCTTCCAAATTTCAAATTTCTCGAAAACTTCCCTACTTTTTCTAAAAAATGTGGCTCTCGAGTGGGGTGGAGGGGGGGGGGCGAGAGGGGGTACATAGTACGCATGAAACAGGAAAATCACGAAAAGTCAACCACCACTCCCACCACTCCTAGAAAAGCCAGAAAGTAAATACGACCCCCCCCTCCCAACAATGAGCAAGTACGACCCCTTTACAACGTCCGTGAAGCGAGAAAAATCAACTATCAAAATAAATTTTCCCAGCCCAAATACGACCACCCTTTCCCGGCGACCGAACACGACCCTCCCCCTGTTGGGGATTCCCCAACAACGATGCGCGGTGAGCGTCCGGGTCGGTATGCTGCAGATTGATAGGGCGCTATAAGTGTACCTTCCTTGGGAGACGCGCTGTGAAGCTACTGCTTAGGGGTGCCGAATTCTGTCCTGCTAGTCCTATTAGTCCTACGCGTCTCGCGGATTTATCCTGCCGCTCGCCTTTAAGGGGTGTGGGGGAGGGGGAGAGGTGGTCGTACCTTGCGAAATTTTTTTAGAGGAAGACAAGCAACGACAACTGGTGTTAAATGACTGGTACGAACAATATGATACAGTCTTATCTTTCCATCACCAGAAAGAACACGAGCTGGCGCTTGCGCAAAACCACCCCTTCTAGCACTCCTATTATCCGCAGCGAACCTTTATCCTTTCCCAGCGTACTGAACATCCGAATCCGCAGCGATTCATGGGAAGCGGGCTGGAGCCTCGACAAAACTCACGCAACGCAGCTATTCCTCGACTGACTTCAGTTTCTTCAAAAGCCTTGAGGAACACAGTGCAAAAGATTTGCTGCCGACGCTGGGGCGCTTCAGTGTTGAACGGGAAGGGGGGGGGGATCAAGGCAAGTTCCACGGGCACTAATCCAGTCATTACGGAAGCTAATAAGTGGCCACAATATGTGGAAAACTGCCTTGCACCGCGCCAAACATAGCCCTTGGAGTGATCTTGTTCGTTGCAAACGCTGGGGCGTTTCAGTGTTGAACGGAAAAAGGGGTGGGAGTGGGTTCCACCCAGTAGCAATTATGGACGCTAATAAGCGGCTACAATAGGTGGAAAACTGGCTTGCACCGGCCAAGCTAACATGCGGCCACAATATCTAGCAAACTAGCTTGCACCTGCGCCAAACGTAGCCCTACCTTGGAAGGGCCCAGCATCTGTAGCGAACAAGACTTTACGTATCACACGGACTAATCTCTTCACTTGAAGTAGCAGGTACCAATATGGATGGGGATCCTTATCAGGCTACGCATCAACACGTCTGCCAACTTTTGTATGAGGCTTTGTGCTGGATCCTAAACAAGACCTCCACTGCTCATTCAAATCAAAACTCGTGAATTATCATTACCAGTTGGTTTTGTGTTGACTTTGTGCTTCACCGATTTTGGCCGTCCGTTTGCAACCATTCAGCAGTGGTCGTATAGGCGCTCGCTGACGCTGCTTCTTTTGGCGTTTTTCCCCGACTTCCGCCCTCTCAGCCGTTGTGGAATACGCCACGAATTATTCGCACCCCTTGTACAGTATTCAAAAAGGTTTTTTCGTACCAAATGTCGTGGTCGTCGCTGTGGCCACAGAAGACACCGATGGGTTGCGAAGACTTCTGAAAACGGCAGAGACATTTAACATTAAAATTGAAGTGTTAGGAATGGGAGAAGAATGGAACGGTGGGGACAATTGAGCAGGTGAGTCTACCTTCACATTTCTGAATATACTTGCTCACGAATTCCATTAGCTATGATATGAAAATGGCTCAAAATCACCTCATTAAACCCACATCGGAGCTTTCATACCAGGTGCAGCATCATGATGTGTGAAACGTCGTGTCAGTACGATCTCCCCTCTTGTACGATCCTCCCCCTCCTTAACTATCCGGACCACCTTCCGAAGCCCTCCCAACTTTGTGGGCTATCCAGAACCTCTGGAAAATATTTCCCAATGCAGTTAATGGGGCAAGGGGTAGGGATGGCCTATCTATCAACCTGCCCCAAAGGCCAGACATACTCCCCCCCCCCTCGGCCAGGGCACGCCATCTTTGTGATCATCACAACAGGGGGGTCGTATTTGCCCGCGATGGAGGGGGGGGGTCGTAAACGCATGGCCCATGTTGAAGTGGAGAGAGCGGTGATACACGGTACAAGTGAAAAGAAGCTCAAAAGGGACGATGTAGATGACAATAAATAGAACTAGGCACTATCGAACTATTCCTAGGCCAAGAACTAAAAAAATATTGCTGAAACTTTTTCCTCCTTCCTCACAAAAAACTTCAAGACACTTCGCCCACCAACCCTCCTCATCTGGTCTAGATAAATCCCAATCCACTAATCCGCAAAATCTAGAAAAGAATCCATTGCAAAAGCTACCTATGAAACCGTAGAAATTGAATCCTGAGCAATTTCCTCACAACAAAATCAAACTCAACAAAACAAAATCAAACTCAATGGATAAGAAAAAAAAACTCACCAGGCCAGCTGGGAACCGGAACTATGGATTACTTTTGAATTTTGGCTGTTCGCGGTCAGCGCGCTCATACAAGCTCATTGGTGCGCGCTATTTTACGGCCTGGAGCCAATTTCAAGCCAAACACGTGAAAAGTACCCCTCATTTGAACACCCATAACTTCGTTGAAAGTGAAGCTATCGGAGAGGGGTAAGTGGGAATGAGTAGAGCTAGGTTGGCTCTTGTCACCTGAATTGAGCGATTTCAAAAACGTTCCGATTCCAGAGATTTTCCCCGTTGTGATCATCGTTGTGATCCGTCTGTGATCATTTTTGCGAACCGCGAGTCGCTACGCTTTGGACGTCCATGGCAAGCTTCATACACGGCCGTAAAAAAAGAATTGTGCCGGAAGCTTGAAGATTTCTACTTTCCAGCAAGGCTTTAATTTTCTTCCTAGGCCTGCTATTCGAAAAAATTCCCCGTTGTGATCATTTCGTGATCACCCCCACGACACGAAAAATCAACCCCTCCGAGGCCAGGAAACCTCCAGTTGGCTTGAAGACTTTGGTATGCTTCTGAAACACATGTTTTCGCAAAGGGTATCAGGAAATAGTCTGGGCGCCAATTGGCATCACCTGTGCAATGCGCCATGCATGGGGCTTTCACGCAGGTGTTTGGAAGGTGTAACTTCTAGATAGGGCTTCCCAATTGCAAGCAAATGTGCTCCTACGATCAGAAAAGTCCGGGAATGTACTTTCATCTGTTTATTAATCGTCACGTCGTGAGTCCTCTTGTTTGTTTATAAATTCATGGTGCCCTTGTGGGCGGTGATCGTAGCTCCTATCATCGCCCCTTCCTCGTACGTATTGTCAGTATGCTACACCAGCGCCAGAGTGCTGGACGTGCTTGGGACGTACGTAGGTACTGCGACCCCCCCCCCGCTCGACAGCAAAATTTTGTAAAAAAACCAGAAATTTTTTGGGAAAAAATAGACAAAGTGGTAGGAGGTTGGAAAAATCTAGGGAAGAGGTAACATGGGGAGGGGGTCGTACTTGAAGATGGAATTAGGGGGGGGGTCGTAGAAATGATCACGACGCAATGGCGTGCCCCGCCCTCCGCCTCTCAAAACATTCTTAGTATCCGCTGCGGATAAGGGTGTATTCCCAGCACAACGAAAAGGGAAAAGTTGGGAAAATCAGCAGACGGAAAAAACAATGATGCCTTCCAATAAACTATTAGGGAAGCCTCCCCACGGACCCAAACAAACCCGAATGGGATTCTTAAACGTATCCTGTTTCACATGTACGAGAATGTGTCTTTCAACCAGGGCATTTAGGTGGGGATTTCGATAGAGTCCGTGGAATTTCCGCCCGCCCCTCCCGGCCTCTGAAAAATGGCTTGATACGGCTCCCCTCCAATATCACCTATCGGTTTCGTAGATTTTCCACCAACTTCCTTCCATTTTTAAAGGACTTATAGGGATTTTTTTCACTTTTTTCTGCTTTACTTCAGAATCAAACCACCTTCCAACAGCCAGAAAATACGCTGGGGAATCCCTAACAACGAACTGACCTGATTTTAATCAAGTCGACACCCCATTTTAGTGCAGCCTTAATTTTCAACTGCTGGTCACAATTTCTGATGAATTGCGAAAATTTTGAATTTTTAGGGTGGCGGTCAAAAAATTCGTATTCTCAGAGATGCTTTGAAAAAGTACGCGGATGACAAGGATACAATAATTCTCTTCGTCGATGCGTTTGTCTCTAATCCTTTTTGCTTTTGATGAAACTTTGAAAATAATAAAAGCTTCAGCTACGACGTGGTGTTCACTGCTAGTATGGACACAATCCTCGATCGGTTCCTCACTTACTTCGAAGACTACAGGGTGTTATTTGGCGCTGAACCCTTCTGTTGGCCAGATCAATCATTGGCGATTGAATATCCGGTGGTGGAATTATGGGAAGAGGTGTGAAAGTCTCTTTTCGAGAACGAATTCATAGGTGTTTGTTCAGGTATCTCTATTCCGGTCTGTTTATGGGCTATGCAAAAGAGAATTATCAAATGATCACTCTGAAAGATGTTGCTGATGGCGACATTTTTCAGAGTGATCATTTGATAAATCTAAGCTAAGGGTAAGCCATATTTGGGATATTTGGTTTAGAAGGGGCGTTCCTTTCAGAAGTGCTACAACAGAGGAAAGCTAAAGTGCTCAGTATTGTTGTGCTCCGTGTAGAGATGGGCCATTCCTCTACCTCCTCATAGTTTTGTTGGCTGCGGAGGGGCGTGTCAGGAAGGGCAGGGATTGGCGCAATGCTAATTCGTTCTTCATCAATTTTTCGGAGCTGGCAAGCGACCACATTTGACGCAGAACGGATCCGTGCTTCGCCAAGCCCAGGTGTCTGACGCATCAGCATGCGCAGCGAACACTGCTGTACAGCGACCGGGGCAGGGCATCCGATGTATGGTCATGATTGAGTATCCCTCTGATATGAGCCATGCACACGGCTTCCAATTGGCGTTGCACATGCTTTCAAAAAGCAGAAAAATTGTTCGAAAAACCTGTCGATGTCCATTTTCGTGTTCTCATCTTCTCCATGTTGAAGTTTCGAATAAGCAGAAGAGCAAGAATTTGAGGTACGATGGTGCTGTGTGGTATCGTTCCTCAAATTCTATACGGTAGCGCCCCAAAATTCGCTAACTCCGCCCATTTTGATCCAGTATCCAACATAATCTTGCCAGGGGCTGTTTTTTGAGGGCCAGCATGAGAGGTCATAGGATCCGATGAGATAACCATTAGGAACAGCAGTAACTCTGCTTGCCAATGAACCACCATGGTTACTATAAATAATTCCCTTACGAAAATTACTGTTCTGCCACAACCGATTACTGTATCCTACTGCCTTAGACCTCTGAAGGCGCAGTCCACGCCAGTTAAGTAGGCGGTGTCACGCCTGATGGTGCATTTATCACTGTCGTGCCGTCCCCAACACCGTACTAATGGGAAGGGCGCAGCAATGGGAAACCTCTCACGGAATGCCTGACTCAGCCTACACAAGCGGAGTGGATTGTACCTCTAAGTGTCCACTCTATCAATTCCCGGCGTTTTGCTTCACCTCCCCAGAAAAGAATGTGAAGAATGTGAAGTTCACTGTGCACCCTCGCGAAACAAACTGCAAAATATTAGATTTTGAGGACAGGAACAGCTGCAAAGTGTCGATATTTTAGAAAGATGTCAAAATCGGGCTGGATTCGGTATCACGTATTTTCCAAAACTTGAACGGTGTAATCGACGACGTGGAGCTGCAATTTGATGACGACGGAACTGCTCTTGTGTGTTACAACTTACTTTTTCATTATTATCATAATATAGGGCAAAGTGCTTTAGTTCGGCGACCACGGTAAAAATCAAGGCGCACTTCGGCTTTTTGGGGACATTTTGCCGGCTTCCAGTGTTCGCCTACGGAGCCTTCTGTGGGAACTGGTAAAACCGATGAAGTAACGGGGTCTTCGTTTTTACTTGAAAAGAGTCTACAAGTCTGAGTGAGACGGTGATTCAACAAGAACTGGCGAAAGCACTGTGCAACGAAAGTGCTAATCCTCCCCCTCCCCTCCCGCACTTAGGCTGAATGTCAAAAGTCAGCCCGACTTTTGGGATTTTTTGCTAGTTTGCTTTGCTGGTTCTTATTACCGCAGGTCCCCTAGCTTTCTTTTTTTGTATTTTGATCCGCTATTGCTAGTACGCGGTTGATTTTTTATCCGACGGAGCGGTGTCATGAGGCGGAATGAGCCCGCTCGCTCGTAGGGCGCTTTCTACCACTGGTCGTTTTCTATCTGAATCGGCCGCTATTAGCAGAAAACGCAATCACGACTGAGCTCCTTCCACGCCTCCTGACACCAGCTCACCGTCAGCCCGTGCGCCTTCCATGAGGGTTTCAATGGCAATGCTGAAAAGCACTACGAAAATAGCCGCAGTCACCCAATTTAGAACTCAGATCCACAGCATAGTCTTCTTGATGAGGTAGTGAACCACAAGCCTACAGTGCTGCCTACAACACCCATCCAACGATCCTTCACGCAATGGGACCAGCAAGAGACACCTAAACTATCTGGCAATTTAACAATTGCTGGTCATCCACCAAAGGATGTACGATTGTGGAAAGAAACCAAAACTCGATTTGGCGGTGAATTCTTCTACATTGTCCGTCTACCTAATTTCTAACCAGGGAAGGTCAACAGGTCGCCATGGCCATTCAAGATGAGATGCATATCGACGTGTAGGTCTTGGGACGCTGAACTCAAATCTGCTTCCAAACGAACGATCCTGAGGAGTTAGGGGGGTGGTGGTTTTAGCATAGCACTCGCCGATCCTCCTTTGCGTAGCTCAAGTTAAGTTCGAGTACAGACAGTCTCAAGTGGTCGATGGTGTAGTGGATAGGATAAGTTGCTTCATAGGCAGAGGTCATGGGTTCGATTCCTTGACAGGTTCGCACTTTTGCATTTTTTCGGAACATCTTCTGCGAGTTCAGAAAATACTTTTATCCGTTTCTTTGTCAACCTTGCTCTTACTTGCAGCAGAAAAAGACTCAATTGCCGGCAATTCTGTTTCGCTTTGAAGAGTTTTAGGCAGTGTTTTTTACTGCCCAAATCACCCGAAAGCAGGCCAGTTTTTGCCCGACTTTTTTCTTCGTGAGCAGAATTGGCTGAAAAGTTGCCTACTAGGGTAGTCTGCCCATCTGAACATGATTATCACATCCGCTCGGCACGAAACCTCGCACCCGTGTCACAGGCGCCAGCGCCAAAATACCCTAGATCACCAAGTTCGCTGAAAACTTGTCAACTGGGTAGTTTGACCTCCTGGACACAAATATCCCATTAGCTGAGCCCGGAAATGCCTGGCGCCGGCGCCATAATACTCGAAATCACCAGAATCACTAAACTTTTCAACTGGAGCAGTTTGACCTCCTAAACACGAACATCACATCTGTATGGGGCGTTGAGAATGTTTGGGATAGAGAAAAAGGGATAATGTGATTGCGCAACCTGCGTCTGCACCCTCCCCTGAGATGGGGCCCTTTCTCTGCAGGCTGAACCTCAGCAAAGGGAAGGATTTCTATGACAGGCAACCAGGAAGAGTGGTGCGTTACTTCGGCCAATTTGCCCAACTGCCCTAGCACAGAGCCTCGCACGAAAGCGACTGGAGTCTGTGCTACACGCGCCGGAGTCGGAACAAGCCTGTGATGGGTCGCTTGTGGCGTATGCGTCAGGCGGTTTCAGACTGTACGGGTGTGATATTCGTGTCTAGGGGGTCAAACTACCCCAGTTGACAAGTTTTCAACGAACTTGGTGATCTAAGGTAAGTCATATTTGCAGGTTTATGACCCCGCGTGCTGCTGTTGAATAACATGAATATTAGTAGACTTTATTAGTACAGTGAAGGAGATCGCATTGGTTGTCGAGTATCAGATGTGAGCCGGACCTTGGAAGTGAGCTGGAACCATGAGGCGACGATCGTGGAGGAGATCTTCTGGGGGCGAGGAGTCGAACGGACGAGCTGGACGGCGGCGAGATCTCGGTGCGGAGAAGAAGCCTCGATCGTCTGCGGCAGACCTTAAATACCATGCGTAAGATGACTCAGCAATACCGTATCCCTAGCACAAGCTCGCGCAGTAGAAGCGCTGATGAAAGAAATAGATAGGGCCGCTACTAGCACTATATAGTTACTATGATCTACGGGACTTTACCGCCATGGCTTCCATTTTGTCAGGTTCGGGTGTTGATGGTGGGAACGAGCCAGTCTCTAAAAAGTGCATTAGAGTACTACAAAACGGATCCTGCTTTTGCTCAAGCAGCACATCATATGGGCGAATGGCTACTGGGGCTGAGTCAGGAGTGGTGACCAAGCATACAGGAAACTCTACGATATCCTCAGTTTCGGGCGTGCCATCTTTAAAACGATTCTCAGTTTCTGTACGGCTTAGAAAGTCAGCGACCACGCTGGATGCGCCTTTAAGATACTCGATTCTGATGTTATAACTTTGGAGTTCTAGTGCCCATCGAGCGAGGTTATCGTGGGTTTTGTTGTGTCGCAGAAGAAAGGTGAGAGGTTTATGGTCTGAAGTAGATACGTGTCAAGTTGCCATAAATGGTTGTACGAAAGAAACGAAGAGCGCTGATCATAGCAAACAGCTCTATATGCGTAGGGACTCCACTTACGCTGGGAATCGGAGAGAGTTTTGCTGAAATAGCCTATCGCAGCAAGCTTGGCGGGCTCGTCCTGTTGTTGAAGCAGAGCTGCGCCTACGGCGACTTTACTACCATCTGTATGAAGAATGAATTCATAGTCTCTTGGAAAGGCCAAGCATGGCCGGGAAACAAGGGCTTCCTTAATGTGAAGGAAAGCCGATTCTTGCTCTGGTGTCCACTCGAACTTGGCCTTACCCTTGCACAAATTGTACAGAGGGGCGGCCATGGTGGCAAAGCCCTTAATAAACTTACGGAAGAAATTTGCCATACCAATAAACCCTTTCACGTCTTTTATGGTCTTCGGACGAGGCAGATCCTGAATGGCTTTGATGTTGCGCGCTGCGGGGCGGTAGGCTGTACGCGTGATTTCGTGACCGAGAAAAGTGATTTTAGATTGGGCGATGTCGGTAAGCTTTTTACCTGATGCTTTGATATTGAAGATTCGAAAACGTTCGAAAACCTTGCGTAGGGAAGCCAGGTGAGAAGGAAAGTCCTTGTCGAAGATAATAATGTCGTCAAGGTAGGCAAGGCAGTTTCCTTCTAGACCTGCGAGTATGCGGAGCCATGGCGCGGGAAAAGTAGGCGCCAGCATTGCGGAGACCGAAAGGAAGGTAAACGAACTGGTAAATCCCTCTATGGGTAGCCCAGCCGCATTTGGCCTGACTTTCCGGGTCAAGCAGTAATTGCATGTAACCGGACGCGAGATCGAGGGTGGTGTAGAATTGATTACCAGCCACTTTCTCTAGGAGATCTTCAATGCGGGGCAAGGGGAAGTGATCAGGGATAGTTACCTCGTTGAGAGGACGAAAATCAAGGCAGACGCGCAGCGAGCCATCTTTCTTCTTGACGAGGACGGTATTGTGAACCCAAGGGGTGTCGCTTTCGGCAATGCGACCTGCTTGCAGGAGCTTGTTGATGTGTTCATCGAGTTCCTTCTGAAATCGGGTAGGGATTCGCGTAGGACGGAAGCGAGTCGGGGGAATTTCGGTGGTGGTCTTAATGGATATGGGGGACAATTCATAAGAACCAAGGTCGTACGAGGACGTAGAGATGCGGTCTTGAAACTCGTCAAACAGAGCTTGCAACTGATCGTTGCTCTTCGGTGACGTCCGCGTGAGACAGGTCAATGCGAAACGGTGAAGCTCGAGTAGAGGAGCGAGAAGCTCCGGTCTGGGCCTGAACTGCTAGTACGGGGGTGCTAAAAATGCTGCGAGGGGGCTCCGATAGAGTCCCATCATCGGCTTCCAGAATAGGGTGAGCTTCAGCAAGACGCTGATCTTTATAGATAACTTGGGCCGACTTCGAGGCGTTAGCCACTAACAAGCGTGGAGAATCCTTATGAAAGACGGCGGGAGAAGACGAAGAGAGACCCTTCACTGAGGAGATTAGGAGACGCGAGGATAGTGGAGGCGCCCTGAGGTATACCAGCCACGTAACAAGGGACCATAGTCTCGGATCCCGGGGGTAGAACCGTCGTGGCTACTGCTCGGACAGGAGACTCGCTGAGAGCGGGAGTCTCCGGACAGTCAACTGAACAAGTGAGTATGTGAACCTGTTCTGCACCTACGAGGAAAAGACGGTTTTGATAGTCGACAGACCACGGGGAAGACGACACAGAGCATCGTTGCCGAGGATCAGGTCGTAGGAATCGATGCGAACGGGGCACTGAGCTCGGTGAAGTGGATCTTATGCTGAAGTTCTGCGCTTCCAATCTGGAGTTTAACGGTGGCGCTGCCAACAAATTTGACGGGGATTCCTGCCATACCGACTGCAGAAGGAACAACGCAGGGATCAAGGTCAAATATGCCTAAAAGGGCGAGAATGGATTTGCTGGCCACAGTAATGCCGGCGCCAGTGTCAATAAGAGCCAACATGCGAAGGCCGTTGACACGAACTGGTATCTGAGCAACAAAGAACCTATGGTCATTGCCTAATGAGAGCACGTGGACAGGAACCGTAGATGCTCGCGGAGGCCATACGTTGATACGTCAATATCGACTTTAGAGATTCCTAGATCAACGGGTTGCAGAGGCTGGAGGACTAACATGCGAGAGCGCTCCTCACTGACAGGCTGTTCGAGAGGTGCGCCAGCCAGAGTGGAGGTGGCTGCAGTGGATGCATAACTGAACATTCTCTTGAGAAGGGGCAGAAGCCCCGGGTAATTAATACCGATGTAAGTAATAAAAAGAGACTTGACGATACCCGTAGTGACAACAATACAGCACAGCCCGACCCAGACGTTAAAGGGAGATAGGTTCAAAAGCGATCGAAACGGAAGAAAACTAGAGAATGTGGAGGAAGTGGGTTCTGTGGCAGCTTCGGCATTACGATGAACGGCAGCGATATGATCGATCAAGCTCTCTTGATCCCGCACTGTCCACATCTCCTGAAGCTGACCGTCGGCCACAACCTCACTGAAGTTCGTCAGTATGAGGTTATGGAAAATGGTGAGCTTAGGGGACAAGGAGAGAGCGTCAAGAGAGGGGGAAGAAGGAATGGATTGGACGTGACTCAAAGGAACTGGCGACATTAAACCTGTGAGGGGGGAGAACTGCAGAAGGGTGGAATTAGCCAAAAGGACCACGGGCTTTATGTCGGCGCACTCAATGATAGGAGCCTTACCAACGATTACTCCGGTGGAGGGATTGAGGAAGGCGCGCCAAATGGAGCCACTTCTAAGCGTGATTTCCACACTAGGGTACGAGAAACAGGTGCCGTTGAAAGGAAGAAGGCGCAACGCATGATCTGGGACGGGAATGCAACGACGAACTTGGACGAAACCATTACCGAGGTGGGCTGCGGTGATGTCCTTGCGACCAATCAAACTCCTCATGGTGAGAGTGGGGTCGGTACGAAGTGCCGAATGAAGAGCTATTGCCAAAACATTCGTACGTTCACACAGGGCTTGAACTGCATGGTGAAAGAGAGCAGTAACTGCATCGTGAACGGAACCTTCCACGGCCAGTAACTGGGCAGATAACTGGTTAGTGGTAAGTAGCCCTGCATCTAGGGAACGGGGAACGCGGCGCACGAAAGCAATAGCATACCCCTGGTCGGTAACTGTCACTTGCCGACGGCAATCGGGTACCACTGGGCTCTGGTTTGACCAGGATAGCGCGAATTCTTTAGATTCGCTGATCCAGACATTTCCCATGAGGAAGCCTTTCATCTTCGAAACCAGGATCCGGAGTCCAAATAATGACCGATCCGTCGGAGAGGGTACACGAGCCGTCCTTGTATACGCAGGAACGCATGTCTCCAGCAGCAGACTCGGGAGCGTCAGTGCCATGACGAGCATGGACGACTGTCTCCAGGAGATAACAATTGTGGATCGCCGCCGTATGCGTTGAACAGCAACCAAAAGGGGCTGAAGGGAACTCAAATTTGAGCTCGTTGGTAGATCGCCAGATGTCACCATGCTGGGACATGTCACCATGGGCGCATTTCTTATGACGGGACATGAGCTTACATTCCTCCGCCGACACCGGAAGGTGAGTCTCCACGTGCGTCTCGGTTCGTGCACCAAAAAAGTTAACGGAATAGGAAACGGAATGACGAATGATCTTACAAAGGGAAGCGGGGGTAGAGTAGCGCTTAGTATTGGGGCGATACACCTGTAGGGACACTGACTGCAACTGGGTGGTGGAATTAGGCAAGAGCCAGGAACAATTATAAGAATACGGAACGAAGAAGAGGTTAGTGGGATTCTCTGTCGGGCAGAGCCAGGCGTCAGGGGAAGCCGAACAATTGGCTACAGATGCCAGAGCAAAACAGCAAAGAAAGAGAAGTCGAACATCAGGAAGTAAACCAGTAGCAGATGAATTAAAAGAAGTAGATGGCTTATTGTCAAAAGCTGATTGAGCGAGCTCCTCGTTACGTTGAACTAAAGCAGCAACTCTAGACTGAGAATTTGAGAGCTCGGCTTTCGTTTGGTCTACTTTAAGAGAAAGTTCTGCGATCCGCTGCTGAGCGGAGGCTAGAGGATCAGACGAAGGAGAAGGAGGAGGAAGAGAAGCATCACAAGCCATAAGCTGAGCGTTACCACGTTGAATAGGAGGACCACGGTTAGTAGGAACCAATTGTGAAGGCACTGACCTGGAAGGGCCGCCTCGGCGGCGTGCGCTGAAGTCCGGTGCCGTAAGGCATTGATATATAAAATGCAACTCCTCCACAGTTGTAGCAGATATCGGTACGAGGCAGTTCGCGCCGGTGGTTGGTCTGGAAATAACGACGTTGATTATTGCTAGCGAGATTATAAGCATCTTGAAAACCATATCCACCGCTAACGCCAGTCCGTCTTCCCTGGGGCCGTGGGGGAGCCGGATTTCGGGGAGGAGGTTGGGGAGGTCTCCTATCTTTCCTATCCAGAAGATTGACCGAAACCTCAGGCTGCCCAGGTCGAATAAGGCGGTCCGCCGTGGCCTCACTAAGTAGCTGCTCAACCATCTGTGCTTTGGTGACGGCCTGCTCGAAAGTGGAAGGGTTGTCCAACTTGACAAAGTAGCGGATGTCCCCCCGAAGACGGGCAACGAACTCTTCGAGCACGCGCTCCTTTTGGGTGAACATCCTGTCCGGTTGTTGCTGCTCGAACCAAGTTGAGCACCCTGTTAGCAAAGGAGGCTGCGGGTTCCCCGGGCTCCTGCCTACAGGAGGACAGCTTTTGGCGAGCGACATATCGCTGCTGGGGGCTCTCGAAGAAGGCCTTGAGGTGGCTAGCTACGCGGTCAAAGTCTTTACGTTCTTCCTCGCTGAGCTCTTCGATTTTCTCGCGGGCCACGCCGTCAAGATGTCCAATCAAGAAGTTGGCCTTCTGCTCACTTGTGAGGGTTGATGGACGCATACGAATGACATCGGCCAACCTGCGCAACCACACGGAGAATTGGGCTCCCTCCTCGGTGGTCCCTGAGAATGGGGATATCTTGAGGGAGTCCGATTCAGGTCCTAACATTGCAACGGTAGGGAGTGAATCAAGACGGTTACCTACCGCCAGAAAGGACTCGTTCAACTTGCGGGTCAAAGAAGTATTCCCCTCGTTAATCCTTGCGCAAGGGCTGAGGTCTGGGATCTCGCATCTCTCCAGACTTGAGCTATGGCTACCGATGTGGCGTCCCGAAGTGCCTTGGCGTCCCTTCCATGGAGGACGGAGGCGTCATCTACCTGCGCAAGCAAATCATCAAGGTGGTGCAGTAAGTGCACCTGCATGGACAGTCTCTGGTGAAGGAGCAGGAGCTCCGATACTTACCGACTCCGCGTCCTGTGGAGGGGCAGGAGGCCCAACCAAGGCAGGAGGCGAAGATGATCCGGACGATGTAGCACCGCTACGAGTAGTAGGCATGACAGACGAATAATAACAGACGAACCGACGAACTGAAGGGTACCAGCATTAAGGGTCGTTGCTTTTATATGCCCTTGGATGGGAAGCTCCACCCCCGTGCTCCGGGGTCACAGGGTTGGCGCGTGAGCGCGCAAATATTTTCAAACGAAAACAAAAAGCTCATGGGAAAGGAACTCGAACAATGAGTATTAATTGAAAACATAGCATCATGAGAAAAGAAACGCTTCAAGGAGATAGGCGGATGAGATAAGGTGGGAAGCATTGAAATATGCGGTAAAGAATGCAATGTTTTGAAAAAGCTGTGCAAATGTTATGGGAAGGGGAACAAGCTGAGAGCGGAGATAGCGCGCGCGATAAGCAATTACCCCTACTGACCTAGCAGCTAGGCGCTGCTAAGCGTGGTGGCCTGCAAAAATACCAAAGTACCCCGGAGGTGTTATGAGCCTACCGTATCCTTGTTCGCTGGCAAGCTGACCTCGGTTGAGGTGCTAACCTGAGAGGTTAATCACCTCGTAGGTGCCAACCGAACGATCGGAGGCGAGCGAAACCCGGCGGGTCGCGTTAGGGTTACGTGTGCTATTGGCGTGAACCGTACATCGCGCGGGATTGCAGGTGCGCTCAACATAGGGGGTTTATCGATTACAAGGTACGTGCCTGTGTATAAGAGAAAAGAAAGGTCAATTGCATATCAATGCGACACTACATTGAAAAGGATAAAAAAAGGAAGAATATGGCGTCGATAACAATATCCACTGCTTCAAAGTCTGCTGCGCCGTCGAATTTCTCAAAGTCGGAAAACTGCCATTTACTTAATCTTCGTTCGGGGGCCCCAAATAACTGCACATCATTCGTACTTGTAGACGCCGTAAATCATCAAAACTGGCTGCTCATCTAGCTAATCACGTAGTAGCTCGGCGCTTCTCAAAAGGAGTATACTCGTGTTAACGACCAATAGGCCGGCCTAATTCTGCCACTCTACTTGTAATGCGTTGGACGCTAAGGTACCTTTTGGCTAAAGGGATGATTCACCAAAAAGGAAATTTGAATGTTTTCCCAGAAACGACCAGACAAAGAAAGTTCCAAAATAGAGAAAAAAGGAGAAACGGTCAAGCAAAGTGCATCCAGCTGGTTGAAAGAAAATAGAAGATCACAAGTTTGCCGATAGTTCAAAACAAAAGGACAAAAACGGGCTGTGAGCCCTTGAGTGTTTGAGCACAAAGGAATGCATGACCCATCCTCCAAAAAAACTACAGGCAGCTGGCATGAAATTTGAAGTCGTGATTGCACAAAGAAAGTACAAAATCGTGACTGTCTGGCTCATGGGAAGAAGCTTCACCACGAGTGTCCGCGAAGGACATTTTTCCATTCTCTGTTTGGACTAGACACCGAACAAGGCAATCACGAGTTCAAATTTAAGAGAAAGAAAAGAAAAGCAAAAGCTACTATCTTTAATGAAAAAAAAGGAACCGCGGTAGTCGATAATAGGCACACAAAACCGCTGCCAGCTGCCGGGACCTCGACCCCCTTAGGCAAAGCGAGATTGCCCAAGGCAAACGAGGTGATCAGTCTCATTGTCTTGTGCAGGCTCAGCAGAGCCGAAAAATTGATAAAACTGACCTGCCATCCACGACGTCTCACTCGCTGCTACCAGTCATATTTGCGGGTTTATGACCCCGCGTGCTGCTGTTGAATAACATGAATATTAGTAGACTTTATTAGTGCAGTGAAGGAGATCGCATTGGTTGTCGAGTATCAGTAGTGAGCCGGACCTTGGAAGTGAGCTGGAACCATGAGGCGACGATCGTGGAGGAGATCTTCTGGGGCGAGGAGTCGAACGGACGAGCTGGACGGCGGCGAGATCTCGGTGCGGAGAAGAAGCCTCGATCGTCTGCGGCAGACCTTAAATACCATGCGTAAGATGACTCAGCAATACCGTATCCCTAGCACAAGCTCGCGCAGTAGAAGCGCTGATGAAAGAAATAGATAGGGCCGCTACTACTACTATATAGTTACTATGATCTACGGGACTTTACACCTCTTACAATAGACATACAGTCGTCATCCTTGCACTTGATAGGGGCGTGTCGGCGAGAAGGAGCGTGCACACTGTTTGAAGCCTTCTCAGCCTTTTCGTTGAAACGCGTATGCGACAAAAAGTGATAGAAAACGAGTAACACGAAGGATATAATACAGTAATGTCACTCTCTGGTTCAACGATTGGTGCAGTACGGGTGCTGACGACCGCGCCGCACGCAGCCGCACTGACATTGACTATCAGTGCTCAAGGGATGACGACTATAAGTATGGGGTTTTGGGCTACGCCCACGCCTCCAAGAGCAGGGGGCGGGACGTAGAGGGAGAAGGTCATCGCCATCGTGGCGATGACAGAGCAGGTATATCAAGCAGATAAGGCAGCGTTCATAGTTCGCGACAGCAGCGGCGACCGCAGCGACCTCGGCGACCTCGGCGATCGCCGCGATCGTCGGTGCATGGCAGCGCGCGCCCCAACGCTATTATGGACCGCTCGCCTGATGAATAAGGGAATCAACTTGTAAGACCTTCTTTACTCTTAATAATGGCTACTAACTGATAAGTTACGACTTTCTATGCATAAGCAGATCTGGAACATGAGGTAAGAAGGTTTCACTTCTTTTTAGGTCGGGATAAGGCCAACTTTTCCCTGGGTGAGCTTCTTTTTGTTTCTTTTGTTTTTATTGTTTCAATTTATACAAGCGCTTCGAAAGTTCCTATCGTCTGAACTGTTCCAACTTCCAAAACATTTATAGTTTACAAGTCGAGTTCAAACAACGAAGAAAAAAAGAAACAGAAAGAAACTCACCTAGGAACCAAAACACTAATCATTTTACGCAACATCAACAGGTGAAAACTTTATAAGCCTCATGTATAAGCTCAAACAATGAAAAAAGAAACAATAAAAACCTACCTTAAATGAAGCTATTACGCTTTTTGCTCATTTCTATCCTGAATCAAGAAAGAAAATAGAAAACAAAAGCAATTAAGCTGGGTTCACCTTTCCCTGAGTCAAACTCAAGCTTCAGTACCTAAGGAAATTGTAAAGGAAAAAAAGCATGAAATTGGTCGCTTACCCCCAAAAGCCTTCGGAGCGCACGTAATATCGTTGGGGCGCGCTCTGCCATGTACCGACGATCGCGGCGATCGCGGCGATCGCCGAGGTCGCCGAGGTCGCGCGATCGCCGCGATTGCCGCTGCTGTCGCGAACGCTGCCTCAGCGGCCAAGGGTCGCGAAATGGCTACGGCGTGTCAAGAGCGCAGCGATCAGCTATTTTTAGGCCGAGCCGACTGGCCTTCTAATTTTTGGAAATATGTGGGAGGAGAGTCACTTCACACGCAGAAGTAGAATCAGACGTGTGGAAGGAGAGACACTTCGCACGCAGGATGATCGGCCGGCGGATCTATTATTTCTCTACCGTCTCCCTTATTTTCCAATCTCCGTGCCGTTTTGGAACCGAACTACGAATTTTTCGAACAATTCGCAGCAAGCACCGCGAACCTACAGCACATCGCACCCATAATGAGTGT